AGACGACCCAAGTCCTTGGGCCCCTGTATCTGTGTGGGAGACCTGGAAGAAGCTCCTGGCACCTGGCTTTGGATCTGCACAGCTCCCACCATTGCAGCCATTTGGGGAGTGAACCAGTGCCAGTGGATGGAACCTCTCTCTCTCTCTCTCTCTCTCTCTCTCTCTCTCTCTCTTCCTTTCTCTGCCTCTGTCTTTCTATAACACTGCCTTTCAAATAACTAAATAAATCTTAAAAAAAAAAAAACTAGATCATTCATGCTTAGTATAATCAACTCAAAATAGATTAAATACTTCAAATTAACACCTGAACCATAAAATGCTTAGAAGCAAACATACAAGAAGAGCTCTGTAACACTGATCTTGGCAATGAGTTTCTAGAAATGACAACAAAAGCACAGATATAAAAGCAAAATTAATTCAATGGTATTGGGTCTTAAATTTAGGTCTTTGATCCACTTTGAGTGGATTTTTGGTAAGGTATAAAGTAGGGGTCTAGCTCCATATTTCTGCACAGGAGATCCATTTTTCCCAGCACCATTTGCAGAAGAGATTGTCTTTGCTTCATGGATTGATTTTAGCTCCTTTGTTCAAAATAAGTTGATCACAGATGTGTAAATTGATTTCTGGAGTTTCTATTCTGTTCCATTGGTCTACACATCCATTTTTGTTGCAGTATCAAGCTGTTTTGATTATGACTGCACTGTAATATGTCTTGAAATCAGGTATTTTGATGCTTCCAGCTTTCTTTTTGTTCTATAAGGTAGCTTTAGTTATTCAGGATCTCTTGTGTTTCCATATAATTTTTAGCATCATTTTTTTCTAAACCTGAGAAGAATGTCTTTACTATTTTAATTGGGATTGCATTGAATCTGTAAATTGCTTTCAGTAGTATTGATATTTTGGTGATATTGATTCTTCCAATCCATTAACATGGAATATTTTTCCATGTTTTAATGTCTTCTATTTGTTTCTTTAAAAGTTTTATGATTTTCCTCATAGAGATCTTATAGAGATCTTTGACACCCTTGTATAAATTTATTCCATGGTATTTAATTCTATTTGAAGCTATTGTAAATGGGATTGATCTTAAAAGAGCTCAAGAAATTCAGCAGCAAGAAAACAAACAATCCAGTTAAGAAATGGGAAAAGGACTTGAACAGGCATTTTTCAAAGGAGGAAATTCAAATGGCCAACAGACACTTGAAAAACCGCTCAGGATAATTACCCATCAAGGAAATGCAAATCAAAACCACAATGAGATTCCACCTCACCCCAGTTAGAAGTTATGAATGGCTTTCATACAAAAATCAACAAGCAACAAATACTGAATGTGGGAAAAAAGGTATCCTAATCCATTGTCGGTGGTAATGCCAACTGTTGCAGCCACTGTGGAAAATTATATGGACAAACCTCAGAAATCTGAATATAGACCTGTCACATGATCCAGCCATCTCACTCCTAGGAATTTACCCAAACCAAAAGAAATCAACATATAAAAGAGTTATCTGTACCCTTATATTTATTGCAGCACAATTCACAATAGCAAAGATATGGAATCAACCCAGATGTCCATCAACTCATGACTGGATAAAGAAATTGTTATATACACATAGTATGAAATACTACTCAGATCTAAAAGCAATGAAATCCTGTCTTTGAAACAAAATGGATGAAACTGGAAACCATTACACTTAGTGAAATAAGCCTGACCCCAAATGACAGATATCCTATGTTTTCCCTGATAAGGGGTAACTAATAGAGCACATAAAATGTAATGTATTGGAATGATATGGACATTTTCAAATTAAATGTGTGTTTATAGCATTTGTCTCTTCTGTTGAAGAGACAAAATATATAGTGAATACATACAAAAATATGTAGTGAACACATACAATTCAATAGCAAAACAACATATAATTTGATTTTAAAAATTTAAAAAAAGGATCTAAATAGACATATTTCCAAGGGAGACATTCATATTGCTAAAGATACATTAAAAGTTTCTCGATATCATCAGGGAAATGCAAATCAAAATCGCAATGATGTATCACTTCACACCTGTGAGGATGCGTATTATCAAAGTGTCAACCAGTAAAAAGCATTGTTGAGGTTGTGAATGATAGGGAACATTGTTGGTGGTGTTGGGAATTCAATAGCCACTTTGGAAAATTGTACAAAGCTTTCTCAAATAATTAAGAATAAAACTATCATATGATCTGTCATTCCATCTTCTGGGTATGTATCCAAAAGAAATTAATATTATTATCTTGAAGAGATAGCTGCACTGTCACATCCAATAGAATGTTATTAACAAAAAGCCAGAAATGGAAACAATCTTAATTCCCATCACCAAATGAATAGATAAAAAAATTTGATCTATATAACCTCTCTCACTTTTCCTTTTCCCCTCTTTTTCTCTCTCCTTACATACAGAATCTTTTCAGCCTTAAAAAAAGGAAAACCTTCCATGTATGACAATATGGATGAAGTTAGAGGATATCACTTTAAGTGAAATAAGCCAGACAGAACCAAAAATACTGCATGATTTCACCTATATATTATATCACTTTAAAAATCTATCTCAGGGGACAGCGCTGTGGCACAGTGGATTAACGCCCTGGCCTGAAGCACCGGCATCCCATATGGCTGGTGGTTCTTGTCCCAGCTGCCCCTCTTCCAATCCAGCTCTCTGCTATGGCCTGGGAAAGCAGTAGAAGATGGCCCAAGCTCTTGGGCTCCTGCACCCAGATGGGAGACCTGGATGAAGCTCCTAGTTCCTGGAAGCTCCAGCCATTGCAGCTAGTTGGAGAGTGAAGCAGCAGATGGAAGACTCTCTCTCTCCCTCTCTGCCTCTCCTCTCTCTGTGTAACTCTGACTTTCCAATAAATAAATAAATCTTTAAAAAATATCTGTCTCAGAAAAACAAGAGAATAGAAGAGCAGTTACAAGGGTCAAGAGGTGGAAGAATTGGGGGAACACTAGTCAAGGGTGAAGTTTGCAGTTATAAGATAAATATATTCTGGCAATTTAATGTAAAATAAAATAGCTATCAAAAATAATGTGTTATTTACTTGAAGTTTACTTAAAGAGTAGATGGGAAGTAGTGTCATGACACTTGCATAGACACACACACAGGAGGTATCTCTGTGAGACAATGGATTTGCTATCTTGCTTGTGATCATCATTTAATAATGCAAGTGTATATCAAAGCATTGCATTGTACACTTGGAGTATGCACAATATTGTGATAATTGCATAAAAATAGAGGAAGAAGAAATATGCATAGAGGTATAGATGGGAATGCTCATTTATCCATTTGCCTCACTGTCAAATCTGTCAATACCTAAATTTTTCATGTTTAGTTTATCATGTGCCTTAGGTGACATTAATTTTGATTTCTTAAAACATCAGATTAATATATTATAGATTTATAGAAGTCTGATACAAAACTGTAATTAATTGAACATTTATACAAATATATATGTAAATATATATCTATATAAATATTATATATCTGTCTTTATCTCAAACATTTACCCATAATCATACACTATTAATCTTTAAATAGACAACTTAAGGCAAAAAGCAAGGAAATTCCTAGACATTAAATGGCAGCTTTAGTTACCATGCTTTTTATCAATGGAGACAATAGGCTAGGGTTGAATTAATGGAAATGTAAAATTTCACATTTAAGACCAGATGTAGAGGAACTATTGATTATGCATGGACTCAATAACTGTAGAGCAGATCACAAAGCACTGTTACTGAGGCAATTCCATTAAACCTACAAAGACTTTATCGGGTTTTCTATTCTTTAAACCATTGGTTATACATACAGTCACATAGCTAGTAGTCCCAAATATGCCTGAAGTGATTCTTTCTTCACTTGTCAAGGGGAATATTTTTCACATACAAAATATGTACTAGTGGGGCTGATGCTGTGGTGCAGCAGGTTAAAGCCCCAGCCCGCAGCATGGGCATCCCATATGGGCACTGATTCAGTCCTGCCTGCTCTTCGGATCCAGGTCACACAAATGTGCCTAGGAAAGCATCAGAAGGTAGTCCAAGTCCTTGTGCCACTGCACCCACATGGAGACCCAGAAGAAGTCCCTGGCTCCTGACTTGGATCAGCTCAGCTCTGGCCATTGTGGCCATTTAGAGGGCAAACCAGAAGAAGGAAGACCTCTCTCTCTCTCTTCCCTACCTTTGTCTGTAACTCTTTCAAATAAAAATAAAAATAAATCTTTACAAAAAATATGTACTAGTGAGTGGGCATCTGGTACAGTGGTTAAAACCATGCTGGATGCCCACAGCCCACACAGCAGGTACTTGTTTGAGTCCTGCCTCTGCTCCTGACTCAAGCTTCCTGTTAATGTGTACCCTAGAAAGTTGCAGACTGTGGATCATGTATTTGGGTACCTACCACACATGTGAGAGATCAGGATTGAGTTCCTTGCTCTTGGTCACAGCCTGGCCCAGCCCTGACTCATGCGGACTTTTACAGAGTAAGCAAGCTGATGGAAGATTCTTCTGTTTGTCTCTTTGCCATTCAGTTTTTAAAAAAAGTGTACTACCAAATGAGATAAATCAAAACAAAATTTAAAAGTCTACAAGAGCACACATCATCAGGAAAGAACTGCATTTATCTTACCCATACGGTGAGACTCTACATTGTTAAGACAGCTTTGCCTTTAATTTCTCTGAGATGCACTTATTTGATTAGCTGAGAAGACCTATTTCTCAAAGATTTAAAGAAGCTTCAATGCACAGTCACTTTTGTCAACATAGATATAAAAATATTTCAGAATTCTGTCATTACTACGAAATAACATGATTCTTTTCCCTAAAAATAAAAAACAGAAGACACACTTTTCCAACCTTGAGGAGTATAAATTTCAGAGAATTTTGCAGGGAAAGTCTACAGGAAAAAACTGACATCTTTGAGACAGCAGAAACATGCATTTCTGAGTAAGAACAGGATGCAAACTCGAGTGTGTCACCTTGCTGCCGCACTGGTGATGATCTTCAGGCTGCCGGGATTCCGGATGAGCTTGTCCAGGATGCTGACAATCTGCTCAAACTTGGGTCTGTTGTTTCTGTCTTTCTGCCAGCAGTCCAGCATCAGCTGATACAAGGCAGCTGGGCAGTCCATGGGGGGTGGTAGGCGATAGCCCTCATCCACAGCCTTAATTACCTGTGTAGAAAGTGGAATGTATTTTACTCTATTCTAGGCGGGGCACATTACTAGGCATACTTTAAAGTTAAGTTTAAAAGTTCTCATTTTAAGTTGCCCAAAGGGATAACAGCTGATCAAATTGCTCATGACTCAAAACATTATATAAAAGAAGACCAAAAGAAAGTGGATTTTGGAAAGAAATTTTGGTGAAGATCCTTTTTGGATTAAAACAAAAAGAAATGTTTGGGATTATCGGAAGTTTGATAGACTGAAGTAATTATAATTATGTTATACAAATTATACATAGAAATTATGATTTCAAAAATATTAGAATGCAGATTCTAGTTCTATCACAGTTCAAATATTCCCTTCCTTTGATAAAATTCAATGTTCTACACAAGTATGTTAGTCTATTAGTTTTACACTTTTAAATGCAGTGTTTCTTAAATTTTCAATATGTATCCAAATCATCTAATGCATTTATTAAGATGCAGAGTATTGTTCCTTCTATCCGCAAATTTCTGGTAGCATAAATTTAGGGTAGAGTCTGAGAATTTTTTTTTTTTTTTTTTTGGACAGGCAGAGTGGGCAGTGAGAGAGACAGAGAGAAAGGTCTTCCTTTGCCTTTGGTTCACCCTCCAATGGCCACCACGGCTGGCGTGCTATGGCCGGCGCACCGCGCTGATCCGATGGCACAGCCAGGTACTTATCCTGGTCTCCCATGGGGTGCAGGGCCCAAGTACTTGGGCCATCCTCCACTGCACTCCCGGGCCATAGCAGAGAACTGGACTGGAAGAGGGGCAACCGGGACAGAATCCGGTGCCCCAACTGGGACTAGAACCTGGTGTGCCGGCACCGCAGGTGGAGGATTAGCCTATTGAGCCGCGGCGCCGGCGGAGTCTGAGAATTTCTATTCTTAACAAATTTCCAAGCCATCTAGTTCAAAAGACCACACATTGAGTTCCATAGGTGAAGACATAATTTTATAAAACAGATGTGGAAAAGTGAGTGTGATTTTCCGTGTATTACATACAAAGCAATTTTTTTTGAAGAAGCATAGAATTATTTGAAGATTAAAATGCATTAGAAGCCATTTCATATGTAATGAGTCAAAAATGACTTGGACAAGTTATCTTGTCCTGTGTCATTGGGATCTTGCTAAGATATTGTGGTTAAGGATAAAGAAAAAATCTCTGAGTGCTGACCCATATGCAAATAGCATCTTTTACTAGGCATGAGAAAAACATAACCTATAACAACAAAATTCTTTTAAAAATCATATCATAGATATAATAGAAATTTAAAGAGCATTTTCTCCATCCAGCCTTTCATTCATATAAATAAATCCACGTCCATGTTTAATACATTAATAGAAATGACATGATTGAGATTTCTTATTTTTGAAAAACACTGTATTTGAGGAAACAAGTTGCCAAGATGCATTAATCTAATCAAGAAAGAATAGCAGACATATGTATCTTAAAAGCAGTTTGATAGCAAAAAATATTTCAAATATTCCATTATATCTATTTATCTTCTTAGTCACTTATTCTATTAGTATAAAACCATTCCATTTTTGTCTCATTTCTAAACCCTGATGAAGGAAACATTGAAGCTATAAGAGTAATTCAATTAGTATCCTCTAAGACTTGGAAACACTTTCAGTCCTTCCAAGTATTCAATTCCAATGTCACAGACCAGGAACCACCTGGTTTTGTTATGCTTCACTTCCTTGCACAGCTTGATATTTAAATCGGAACCCATAATTCTTAAGCTACAAAAACATACTTACGTCCTGATTGGACATCTCCCAGTATGGTCTCTCTCCATAAGACATCACCTCCCAGAGAACAATCCCGTAACTCCACACATCGCTGGCTGATGTGAATTTGCGGTAGGCTATAGCTTCTGGTGACGTCCAGCGGATTGGGATCTTGCCTCCCTTAATAGAAAGTCATGTGTGCATAAATGAGCAATGCACAGCACATATTCGACACATTATATAATCTAAAATCTGATAGGATATGTCATGGTATTTCTATTCTAAAACGGAACATAAATAAATGCTAAAACATTTTTATGTTTTTCTATTATAAAACAGACATAAGTAGCATATCATTTACAGCAAGGAAATATTACAAATCAACCTTTTATTTGTAATCTTACCAAGACCTATTATTTAAATAAACTACAGTAATTAGAAAAAAGTAATAAGTTGATAACAAACATGACCAAGATACTTATTTGTTTTTACCTTAAGAAAATTAAAATGAAACACATCAAAGCTACCACATCTTAAATGCTTCATTACTATTTTCCCAAGAGGAGCGTTTTGAATATATTTTAATAAAATTGCTTAACATGGTGAAATACTGAAAGGCAATCTCTGCAAAGAAGATTTTAGTGACCCCTGTATTTAAGTTGGAAAGCAAAATCCATTCCATGTTAATCTGATACAGACACAATGCTGCTCTTAGAGGGGTCTCTGCTGAAACACCAGGCCCATCTCGTCAAGCGAGACGTTCATTCTCCAAATTTTTTATGTAGCTGGGACTTTCTACTGTATACTGTAACACAGCATGTGGTTATAGATTCAAGATCATTATGTCCAGAATGGTCTTCCAATCAAGTGCTGTTTGTTTGTTTTCCATTGTATTAATATCATTCAACAAATTTTTTAAAAAATTCAAATGAAGAAAAAAATGTAATTATCTTAAAGAAAACACTTAAATTTTTAATTCTCTTCTTTCTACCGTGTTTTACAATCATTGAGGCCTGATAAATATACAAATACAGACATACACACACATATATACACATACACCGAGGAAGGTGTTAAAAAACAACTTCAAACTATTCAATTTAACAATTTCTGAAAGCTACTGAACAATCCTTTCCACTTCTTTTAACTTTGATTGTATTAATTCTTGAAAATTCATTATGACTCTTTGCTCACTGTGCTATTTTGGGCATGTCTCCTGGCTCCATTTCAAGCCATCACTGCTAAAATCACAAAGCCCACTCACTATAAGAATACATCAAAAAGTTTGTGTGAAAATGTAATTAAAATATAAGTTTATCCTCCCAACAGGCTTGAGATCCTAAAGTAAACTGATTGAGATCCAGTGGAGTGGGCTGCTTGTACTGACCCAAGTTACACTTTCATAGAATTCAAGAGGAAAGTCTAGAGCTCTGGCAGTGCTAACAATGAATGCGGAGATGTTTCTCCTTCTCCTCCTCCTCCTCCTCCTCCTCTTTCTCCTTCACAGGCAGAGTGGACAGTGAGAGAGAGAGACAGAGAGAAACGTCTTTCTTTTCCGTTGGTTCACCCCCACAATGGCCACCGTGGCTGGTGCGCTGCGGTCAGCGCACCACGCTGATCCGAAGCCAGGAGCCAGGCGCTTCCTCCTAGTCTCCCATGCAGGTGCAGGGCCCAAGCACTTGGGCCATCCTCCACTGACTTCCCAGAGAGTTGGACTGGACAGAATCTGGCGCCCCGACCGGGACTAGAACCCAGGGTGCTGTCGCCACAAGCGGAGGATTAGCATATTGAGCCGAGGCGCCAGCCCGAGATGTTTCTTCTTAACTAGTTGTAAATGCAGCTTGCAGACAACTGCACACATAGAAGCTTCCAACCCAGAGGGTGCCTGGAAGCTTCACAATCCTTCACCCATATTTCACCCAATGCATCTTAAAGCATAGATGAGAAGAGAAGAACATGACAGAGGCTGAATAAGACGCACCAGCAATTGTATCCCACAGAGACACCACCTGAGCAGCTATCCTGCATAAGCCAACCACACAAGAGAAGAGAGATGCTAGTGCTCACTTTGTGTATAATAAGAAAGATGCACTGAACAACGCAGGAAGGGGAGAGTTGTTGCTCATGTCATACTTCTCCCAGCTACAAGAAATGCAATGAGGACAGAGATATAGCACCTTCCACTTGGAAAAGGTGGAGGGAATTAAGTTCAGACATTAGATTTGAGACCCAGTACCAGGCTGGTGACAGTGAAATCTGGAGCAGGACATGTATCACAACACCTACTCCAAGGCCAGTAGCTATATACTGAATCTTTGTACCCTCCATAGGCAGGTCCCTAAGGGACCACCTCCACCATCCCTCCCCCAGCTCTGCTGACAGAGAAGCAAGACTCCAGCCACTGGAGCACTAAATGGGAAAACATGATTAAAAACCTTCCTTGAATCTCAGTGCCAGGCCTGCTGCAGTGAGATTCAGCCCCAAATAAAGTTCTCAGCAGGGCTTACAGGTGCAGCCTCCAGCTAGCTCTTCACTGGCCTCCCAGGAAGACCTGTGCTCTGGGGTTCTTTCAGCCTATATCACTCAGCCTCATGTGGGACTGACAAGGGCCCAGTGACTGTGAGACCCAAGTGCGACTCAGCTTAACCTTCATCTGGGGAGTCAAAGGATGGCCTCTTATCACCCTTCCCTCAACCTTAGACAAACAGCAGGAAGTAAGACTTCAGTCACCGCAGAGAATGGCAGGGAAGTGAGTTCAGGGCTTTGCCTTGAGGTTTGGTACTAGACCTGCTGTGGTGAGACCCAGAACCACATATAGACCAAAAGCTCATATCACCAGCCCAGTACTCACAGCAAGAGCATTTACAACTGCCCTGACACCAGGTGGAGACCTCTGCCTTGATAAAACATACATGTGTTGCAGTCTGTATCATTCCCAGCTTCACGCGAGCCTGGCATGCTCCTGTAAGACAGCACAGGGACCTATTGCTGTGAGACTCAGATGCAACAAAGACTGGTGTCCATCTGTTCAGCCAAGGGATTGCCTTCCTATACCTCCTCCAACAAGGGGCAAACATTAAGGAGCAATACTCCAGCTACTGAGGAGTACGACACAAAAGTGAGCAAAGAATTTCATCTTGGACCTAGTAAAATCACCAGTGGGCAGATAATAATGAGTCCAATTCCAGGGCCAGTACCTGTGCCTATATATGGAGCCCTCGAACCTGTTGCCCTCCCAAATGAAGACACACAGCCCAAGTCCATTGGACTTATATAACGGTCAGTATCACCTGTTATTGGTTGCAGAGACCACAGGACTGTACCTCCATTTCTACTCCAACTCCAGGTAGCCTGGTACCCAGACAATAATTGTTTACTTGGAGAAAGAAAAGATAGGCATGTTCCAATACATTTCACAGAAACCTGGGGCTGACACTGAGGGGATCCCTGTGCCACTGTTATACATTGGATCTGAGCTACAGTGACTCCATTCATGCTCCTATTAAAAAAGAAATGAAAACAATAATTTCAGGATTCTGGGTTCTCGTGATCCCAGCCACTGTGGACCGAGAGATGGAGGCCTCACAATGGCAGACAATGCCATGTAGGCCAACACCAACACTAAGATACCCTCTGGGACTAAGACAGGCGCCCTATGCTCCCACTGCTGCTGTAATTGATTATAAAGCAAGAAAAATATACACAGATTATCACACATCATTTAACTAGAACTAAAGCCAAAAGAGCCCACCAAACTGATACTTGAAGATACATCTTCAGGAAGAAGTCATTTATCACAAAAGCTGCTTGTGAATATTGTGACAAAAAACAGTTAACAAACCAAGTGTGCAAATACCAATAGAGGAATATAGAAAGTATGAAAAAGTAAGCCAATAGTTTGCCTCCCCCAAAGGAATACAATCATATTTTACTAAGAGACTCAGAAGAAAAAAAGATTAATGGAATGACTGGCAAAGAAATCAGAAGCATGATTATAAAGATACACAGAGACAAGAGGATGCAGTTAAACGAAATCAGGCAAATAATGCATGAAATGAATGGGAATTCAGCAAAGAGAAATCTTAAAATGGAAACAAGTCCTAAAAATGAGCAACTCAAACAACAACAAAAAAATACAGTACAAAGCTTTAACAGCACATTAGATCAAGTAGAATAAACAATATCTGAATGTAAAGATGGGTCTTTTGAAATATGTCAGTCAGATAAGCAGGTAGGAAAGAAGCGAGGAAAGAGAAGGAAGGAAAGAAGGAAGGAAGGAAGGAAGGAAGGAAGGAAGGAAGGAAGGAAGGAAGGAAAATATGTTTTAAAATGAGGACAGAATCTTAGACCTATGTAAAATAATGAAGCAAGCAAATATTCAAATTCTGGAGATCCGTGGAGAAAAGAAAAAATAGAAAATATATTAAAATACAATAGTTGAAAAATTCACCATTTTAGGGAAAGATATGAACAAGTATGTATGTAGGAGGCTCATACAGCTCCATAGAACATGATCAAAAATTCCTCAGTGAAACAAATTAGAATCAAATTCTCAAAGATACAAAATGAGAATTCTAAAATCTAAAAGACCAAGTCACATTCACAAGAAACCCCATTAGAGTAATGACATATTTCTTAGCAGAATCTTTATAGGAAAGGAGGGAATAGAATGATATATATAGAATTCTGAAAGAAAAAAATGCCAACCAAGAATACTATAACTAAGAAAACTATTTTTCATAAATACAAAAGTAAAACATCCCAAGATAAGTAAAAACAAAAAAATCATCACCATCAGACCAGCCTTATAAAAGATTCTTAGGGGAATCCCATATACTGAAGCAGAAAAATAATTAACATCATGAAAACATGTGAAAAGTAAATCCAAATGGCCAACAGGCACATGAAAAAATGTTCAAGGTCATTAGCAATCAGGGAAATGCAAATCAAAACCACAATGAGGTTTCACCTCACCCCAGTTAGAATGGCTCACATGCAGAAATCTACCAACAACAGATGCTGGAGAGGATGTAGGGAAAAAGGGACACTAACCCACTGTTGGTGGGAATGCAAACTGGTCAAGCCACTATGGAAGTCAGTCTGGAGATTCCTCAGAAACCTGAAGATAACCCTACCATTCGACCCAGCCATCCCACTCCTTGGAATTTACCCAAAGGAAT